ATTAAACAGACCGTCCCGTCTAGAGACCCTGTAATCAGAGACTGGCCATAAGAGCTCGTCAACGGCCAGTCTCTGATTACAGGGTCTCTAGTCCCGTCTATTGAGAAGCGCCGCAGACTCCCAAGTGAGAACCCGACCACACCCGCGCCCGGAAGATGCGAAATCGCGAGCCCTCCCAGCCGCTCTGAACACACATTGTCAAAGTCCGTCCCTTCACGCACGCGTCCACCATGCAGAATCCGCAAAACCCATTCAGCCTCGTTGAACGGCGAGCTTAATCCCGCCCGTCCGTCCCGCGCGAAAAGCCGAGGACGTACTCCGCGGCCCCCGGGGAATCCGTCGTCGATCGCGGAGCCTCGCCGTTTAGCTTACGAAATAGGAACTTTGTAGATCGCGGTCTCTTCCGCGAAGGAGGATGAACTTGAAGGAATCGGTAGACATTTCTCGCGAGTTTTCTTTTACTTCGAAGAAGCCTTCTTTTTCAGCTCGATCATCTCTCGCCGGACAAGAAATGAGGGGGAAAAAATGGATTCTTTATGTACAGCTTGGCATTAAGATATGTTACATAACTGTTCGTTTCCGCGCACGTAATCTGATTTCGTGTCCACCTGGCCCGTGTGTGCGTGTTACAAACAGAAATAGATAACGGAGAGAGATTGAGAGATTAGATCGCGATCGTGCGCGCGGATCTCCCTGGCGACTCGTTCAAGTTCATCCGTCCCTTGCCTCGCAGAATCGTTAGATGAATAGAGTAGGTCCGGTGTGTCGCAGGCCGGCTTAGTTTGTTGCCTATAGTAAGTAAGAAACTAATCAGCGGTTCACGTGACCGTTTCGGCGCACGGCGTAGTGATCTTTGGAAGTGATGTTCAATCGCCCGGATCGTTTGTCAAGCGTCGTCATGCGATAGCACACATATCACAGCGTACCTTGAACGAGCTCGCACTTGCTGGAACAATGATACGGCGCCGTCGCGGGGCGAGGTGGCCCAACGAGAGCGAGAGCGAAAGTGTCGAAACGCAAAGGTTCTTATCGAACCGGCTCTCTTATCGGTGTCGCGATAGAATTTCTGGTGCGCACGTTCTGCGTGTCGCGGAACGCGGTGTCGTTGAACGTTAAAGAATTCGGGTGAAAGAAGCCGCAGGGGACGGAAATCATTTGGGAAAGCTAAGTGTCGTCTCGTCAATCTGGGAAAGGGAGCTTAGAAAAAATATTCTTTGCGTCGATTTCTTTTTGTACTTCATAGACGATGGAATTTGCAGCCTCTTAGAGACCGCCACCGACTTTTGTACGCGGAAACTTTCTCAACGAAATGAAACATTTCCGGCGGTTTACCTGCAGCCCCTTTCTTTGCATCGAATCTTTCGTCGGGTGAATAAAATTCGGGAGTAAACGGTGCCGCGACGAGTCGCCGCGCGTAAATTAAAGAGCTCCGTCGTGCAGAAGTCCGAGAAAATGTAATAACGATAGATTTACTTAATCCCTGAATCGCGCGGAGGAATGCTCGTGAACGAAGCTGCAATCGACGAAACGGGCCGCCGGAAACGGACAGCTGGTCTACAACAACGTAATTTAACATCGTACTTGGTGATCGATGCAATATAAATCCTACGTATATAAATACATATAATGTAAATTAAAAATTAGTATCGCCTTGCGGAACTCCTTCGAAGTAATCGACCGAAATGAAGCACTGAGAGTGATAGAGACCCAAGTCACAATCTTGAACGAAAAGGCAACTCGCGTCGGGGAACGTTCTCCGGCTGTCCAAGGCGACGAAACGAGGGAAACGTGTTTCAAAGCGTGTTTTACTTCCGACGAACCGTGCGCCTCGCAAACGTTCGCGTCTGCCGGTCGATCTATGGCATCGCAATGAGCAAAGGTCGGAGCGGAGTCATTTGTACATGGCCTATCAGAATATACGCTAGACTATCCCTTTCTGTCCTAGAAACTCTTCGTGGCTTAGGTCTATATAAATTTCAACGCTTCAAATAATAAATACACGAGAAGGCGTTCTGCGCCCCCGTTCGAGACCGCCGCGTGTCCCGCCAGTCGAGACGCGCATGTTGCTACGAAACTTTACTTGGAATGATACGACGCATTCTGTCACGATCATCGGGCATACACACGTGTACGTAATATATACATGTATACACAAATTGCTTCCGATTCGCGGGTCTCCCCGGGAATGGGAGGCCGCGGGGTCGCGCAACACCGCCGCGGCGCTCTCGAGGAAAGGAAAGGAAGAGGAAGAGGAAATGATATGCACCGGAAGAGCGACTTATACCGAAACGAAAGCGCTTTTGTGTGTGTGTGTGAGTTGAAGCGTTAAGCCGCGCGCGAGCTGCGACCCGCAAAACGTAGGCGAATTAAAAGGAGCTCGTGAAGAATTCCACCCCGCGAGCTTGACTGTCTAATCTTTGAGATCGGATATTAACTTTGGCATCTCCAAATTCCCACTCGTTTCTCTTCCCGCTCATTCTGTCCTTTTAAGCGAATTATTTTACATAAAAAAAAGGGGAGATTCTCGTTCGAAATTAAGGCCTGCCGGTCGGGTTTTCCTCCTCTCCCGCGTTCGGCGCGTTCAGAGACGTCGTTAACACTAGAACCGTCGAAGCAGTCCGAACGACCGGATTTGTAATCTTTTAGCAAATTTATAACGGTGCAATTTAAAAAAAAAGTTCCGTGACTCTTATTGCAGTGTGTAAACGATTAAATTGATTAATTTACACTCTCTCCCTTCACACATCCCTATATATTAAATATATTTAAATAGTAGAAATATAAATGTACGCTAATCTCGTCAATAGTTCGAGGCGTTCTAGTGTTAAGGGCATCGGCGACAATTGGGGAAGACCCGGACGAGCCGCGCGCAGAATCTCGAGGTCCGATATCCGAGATCAAACGTCCAGCCTCGCGCAGACGGAGGTCCCTCCACGGATTTCCATTTCAACTCGTCCGCTCCCTCGACGACGGCGAACCCGGGCCGGCCGCTCAAACCGTGCCGGAGTAGCTCTCGCTCGGCCAGACGTAGTACAGGTGACGCCGGCGTGCGTACGCCTGCTGGAGCTGCGCCTCGGACGCCCGCGACGATCCCTGCGGTCCCTGCTGACCCCGTGGCGGACCGGCGTCGGTGTCCGGCTCCGGCTATACTATGGTACCGCCGCCTTCCACCGGACTGACCACGTGGAGAGCGGCGCCGCCCACCTGGTTGAGCCCTGGCTGAAATTAGAGACAACGCGAACCACTCGTTGTTACACGACACGAGTAACGCGCTTCTGATCGCCCAAGTCGTCTAAGAGTTGCGCGCTATTCCCAACAAGTTTGCGCCTCGTTATCATCTTTTTCCGTTCCGGGGTTTACTTTCGACCGACGGACACAGTCGAATCTAGGATTGGCCGTAGAGAGAATCTCAGCGGTTCGGCGTCTGATTTAGAAGTTGACAGCTCTATCGAGACGGATATAAATTGCACCTTCATCAGGAATGCATATCTCCGTACGACGAAGTTAAACGTGCGACTTGTAAATAATTTATTGTAAACGGTATTACGCGTGCAATCTTCTCCTTCCTATCTTTGCGGAAACTTCTTGGGAATAATGCGAATCTGACAAGAGAGAAAAAGAGAGAGAAAGAGAGAAAGTGTGTGAGAGCAGAGAAATATGATGCAATTGGTGGTAATAAAATTCAGAAGCGCCGTCGAGAACAGTGTGTGTACTAGTCTACTTTCATGACAAGTCCGATCAAGCGGTAAATAAGGCAAAATAGAACGGAAAATGATAAGTCATACGTACCATGCGATAACTCAGGGAAGTCTCATCCACGATACTCTCTTGCATCAGCCAAAGCGTGGTACAGAACATTAATCTTTCCGATCAATCAAAAGTGAGAAAAAGGAATTAATGCCTCATCGGCCTTGAGAAGTAAGCGCAAGCAATCGTCCGATTGAAAATTATATAAATATGAAAAAAAAAGACACGCTATTCGAAATCATAAGTCGCGCCGTAAAAAGAAGCAACGCAACGCCGGTAATGAACTTGATCGCGGTACTCCGCAATTAGTTTAGGTGTTTACGCGGCGTTGGCCAAAAGCGTGAGTGAGGGACTCGCTTTCATTAAATTTGCACGCACTACTTTAACGTAATACAGTGAATTAACAGCGGCGATTAAAGGCGCTGTTTGAACGCGCGATAAGTAATTGCGCCGCCGGTATTTGTAATTCCAATTCAGCAGCGAGCGCCGGCTCGGTTTAACTGATCGCAATTTAACGAGGCTACCCCCGTACTTTTGGACAAGGCCGTTGGATGAAAGGGTGAGAGAGTGTGGGATATCCTCGTGATACAAATGCTCTATGCAAAACGCCCAGGAAACGCTATTCGAGTCCTAATATCGGGACCTGGTACTGCATAACCAGGGTCGGGAAGTAACGAGTTACTTGTAACGAAGTTACAGTTACAGTTGCTTTTTTTTTGTAACTCTTAACTAACTTAACTAACTTCATCTGTAACTGTAACTTAACTCAGTTGTATCAATAGCTGCTTTACACATATATTTTAAATCTCCACAGATCGCAGTGGGCCTCGCATTTGCGCATAAACACCTTTATCGACGCTCCACAATTCGAATGCAGACTCGATACTTTTATCTTCATTGCAAGAAAGTAACTGCAAAGTAACGATTCGTTACTTCTAACTGTAATTGTAACGCTACTTTTCAGAATTGGTAACTTGTAACTGTAACTAGATCCTTTTATAAAGTAACTTCCCAACCCTGGGTATAACTATATGTGAAAAAGAAAAGATAGAAAAGACATGCGATGTTTCTCGGCAAACTGTAAAATAAACATCGTCTTACGTGTGCCGCCATACATATGCGTGCACGTATGCATATGCATGTGTCGCACGAAAAAAAAAGACTCCCCCCCTCCCCGGTCGTTTCTCCCAGGAGCTTCTGCATTGCACTTGATTGAACAAAATTTCAACAAGCGGGAAGCAAGCAGCGAATCGTTCATTCAAATTTTCGCTTTATTGTACAACAAGGCAAAATTCATCGTTTTTTCAACAAAGGATTAAATGTTCTCGCATCTTGTATCGTAAGGTCTGAGGAGACGACAGTTTGGCTAAATAATTTGTTTTCTCTCGTTGGCTCTCCATCAATGGTCGGCTAAAGCTAGATAACACTTTACAAGAAGATAGAAAGAAGGTTTCCTTCGATAAAGGGGCCTGCCCTGTCACGAGACCCCGTAGGGGGCTCAAACAACATTGCTCTCCGAGGATGCAAACCAAAAACATAAATATATCGGTACTCGATCGCTATCCTACGTAGCTCGCGTAATTCTGCAATGTTCATCGCGAGGATATATCTTGACCAGACCATCATTAGGCACAGATATCAACGACAGCCTATACTATGAATGAACTTTAAGCATCGTGTCCCTCTCTTCCATTCGCAGCGCATGCACTAACGAGGTATCATAGAATTGATAACATCTAAGATAAATTAAAGCTCATCCGTTTCTCGCAAAACAAAAAATTATTAACGAAGACTACCCACACAGCACCAAAACTTTCAGAAACATTCCGCCTTTTTCTTATCGTCGGGCTTTAGCATTCTTCGCGTTGTAATCCCTTCGCCTTTCCTAATTTTTTTTAGTCCACAATGTTACCGCCGATAAACTAACTGTTATTTGGTGTTGATCTTCGAGTGCGGCCTGAATATCAGATACTTTTGCTTTTGGGTTCTTTTTTATGTGATCCAATATAATACTTAGCGCCTTTACCTTTTCGTTGGACTTTAACTTTCTTCGCATTGGAATCCCTTCGCTTTTCCTAACTTTGTAGACCCACTTGGAGAGCAGCATTGAACTAACTGGTATGTTTAGGCGATCTTTGAGTGCGGCCTGAATCTTCTCTGGGCTTGTTTTTGGGTTCTTTCTTATGTGATCCAATATTATACTCACCGCCTTTTTCTTATCGTCGGGCTTTAGCATTTTTCGCGTTGTAATCCCTTCGCTAAAACGCGTACTTGTGTAACGAACTGTTTCTTTTTCAGTAACGATTGTGTGCTTTGACGTGAGATCCATATTGCTTGAAGAATGCAGTACGACATTGCAACATTGCAATGTTTTCTGAAATGTTTCTGAAAGCTTTGGTGCTGTATGGGTATATTAATATCATAATGCATCCGAGGAGAAAAAAAAACAGATATCATAAGAATATGTGTGCGCGCTCTACACTACTTAACTTGAAATGTCTGTTTTCATGCATCTCGGGTGGTAGATTTGTATTCGAAAATTTGTCGCCAATTTATCCGATCTAATGGAATGTCCTGAGTAAAAGGCGAGACTGTCCGAGAGATGTTCGTCGTATTTACGCGGAAAAATTGAAGAATATCCGGCGCGTCAAGAGAAAAAAGAAATCGAAAAGATACCCTACGAAAATTCAGGAGCCCGATAGTACGTGTAACTTTCAACTACAAACTCGTTCACTCATAGTATCGCCCGTCCATGTACGTCTGCAATTGTATATACACAATATAAACTTAGAGAAAAATACTAAAAAAAAAAAACAAAACAAAAAAGAAAAGAATCCTCAATGCTCTTTCTCTCTACGATGGCACCTCCCAATACTAATTGAAACGCAATTATACACCCTAAGGTCGTAGACTTAAATGTGAATAGGGGATTCTCTCTCTAAGATTAAATATATACTGATTGTAATATATAAAACTTAAATAACAGCGACGCGATGGTCGTATCAAACACCCGGCAAGGTAATACCGAATTCGTCAAATGTATCCTGTTGTAATACTTCCAAGCCAGAACAATTCATTTGTCTCGAACCTGCCACCGCGGCAGGCGACAGGAGGACGATCGGAAAGGATCACAAGACTCTCCCGTGCCACCTCTGTCAACGATAACGCCGTTTTCCGATTCTACACTCTACGTATATATGTACAGAATTCTCGGGTCACCCGACCAACAGACTCTACTCGACGGACTTGCTAGATTTGGAAATAACGGGTTACATCAGAGCTCGTTACACCGCATGGAATTGATATTACTAGTGTAGGGGTTGTTGCTATGATGGTGTGATGGCCTGTGCAGGGTGCTGCTTATCGTGAGAGGACCTACCATGTGGCCGGGCCTCGCCCACGTGTACACGTATCCATCCTGACACGCCGTCACGAAGCAATCTTCCCTAAACACTAATTCAGTCAGTCTCTCGTGCGCCAGCTTCTTGCACACCAGCGGCTCGAGGACCGGGCACTCGTCGAACCTGGGACACCAGGCGGTCCCTATCAACCTCATGGGATCGTCCATCACCGAACTAACCTTTTTACTTCCCGTCCCACCTACTAAACCACCCCCACCGACACTGTTGTTCAGGCTACTACTCGTCGTGCTCGTCGAGTTGCCGGTGCTCGCCTTGTCGCCACCATTGTTCTGCACGACCGTCGTCACGCTGTTATTGGCCGCCGTCGCCGTCGCACCGGTGCCGCCGCCGCCACCGCCGCCACCACCACCGCCGCCACCGCCACCGCCACCACCGCCACCCCGCATCGTCAGGCTAAAGTTTCTCTTGTGATTATCACCCTTACGCTCGCCGAAGCCAAGTCCCGCTAGCCTCTGCGTCAGCGAATTGACGGTCGCCACCGCGGCGTTCGTGCTAGTGCTATTGTTACTCGTCTCGCTATTACCACTCGCGTTCTCTTTGAAGTTTACATTATTCGAGTTATTATGTTTAGCATTCGAGTTCGAATGGTGGTTCGCCGTGGTCGCCGCCCCGTTGCCGCTGTTGAACGTGCCCGAGGACGACAGCGTGCCGCCGCTGGTGCTGCACGTCGCCGAGGGCCTCTGCTTGGCGCACACCGGCTGCCGCAGCACGTCCTCCGTGATGTCCCATAGGCACAGTTGGGTGTCCTGCGACACGCTGCCTAACCTGTAGCACGTGCCGCCCGACATTCTCAGCTCGGAGCCGCAGGAATTGCGATTCGAGTGAATGCCGCCGCTCTGCGAGGTCGTCGACAGCCGATGCGACTTCTCGTGGAAGTGATTGTGATTGTTGTGCGGCATCGTCTCGTCGTCCGAGCCGCTGAAGTCGGGATCGTGGTCGCCGTAGGACGTCGTGTACGGGTCGAAGGCGACCACGCTCACCCAACTGTGGTGACCCTGACCCCGCGCCACCACCCGCTTCTCGTGGAAGCTCCAGATAGTCACCAGATCGTCCTCGCCGCCCACCACCACGTAACGTCCGTCCGGCGACCAGCACACGCACAGAAAACCGCCGAAGTAGCTCCTCGCCGAGCCGACCAGCTCCATAGTATTGTATTGAAAAACACGCAGGAATCCATCCTGCGACACCACTGCCAGGTTCGTGCCGCAAGGACTGAAGGCGAATTCATTTATACAACATCCCTCCGCGCCTATCACCCACCGGTACAGCGGGTTCCTCGTGGATTTCGTCTTGCAGGTGTATATGGCGTATCCGTCCCCCGACTTGAAGGACTGATAGTGCGGCGCGGTGGTGCCGCAGAGCAGCTCTTCGTTATAGAGGTACAGCTGGCCGGAGCTGTGCGAGACCAGGAATAGGTTGTTCGACCCGGGAACCCACTTTATGCATGTCACCTTGCTCTTGTCTATCAGCCTCTGAAATGTGAACCGTTTCTCGTTAGACACAAAAGGGATGTTCTCGAAATAAAGCGGCGCTGATAGCGCCACAAGCACTACAGAATTTATTAATCTTATATCGCATCCGAAGATAAGATTTCGTAAAGGACATTTAGTAATAATTCGATTAAAAACGAATAGCGAGATAAATTTTTATATTGCAATCTTTTATATCGCATTCGAAGATTTTGCAACGAACGTTTAGCAATAATCTGATTGAATATGAACAGCGCTGCTCCGTCTCTGTAGATACAAAGTTTAGAGATAAGTTTTTATATTATAATCTCGATACTACAATTGGTAAACAGAGATAAAAAGGAAATAACACTGATTGGCGATTTGAGAATAATACTGGACTATTAAGAATATGCTAACAGGCGCGACTTTAATGGATCGTTAGGGATTTGACGAGGCCGAAGTGTATTTAAAATAGACGGGCCGATCGTTCCGCAGCGAGGCCTGCGTCCGTCACGAGAAGACAGCGGAAAGTTATGTAATGTTGCTTGTTGAGCTTAATTATTTGATTGGGATATAATTGCATTAGTGCGCGGGCCCGTCGCGGACCGGATAATGCGCTGCTAAATATTAAGTACAGTTCATCGCAGGACCGCGGCGGACGGCGCGAGGCGTCCTGCGCCATGCAGCATTCATTTCCCAAGTTTATCATGTTTCAATAAGATAACGCGGACACATCATCGAGAGTGGATAAGTGTTGACAGCTTTTGTACACACTGCCGGGAAACTATAGTGACATTAGCTGCGCTAGACGATACTGTTTGAACTATGAGATTATTTATCGCTCCACGTAAGTGCTAGCTTGCAGATAATGCAGAGAGCTCTCGATCTCTCTCTCTCTCTTTCTCTGCCGGATGCGGGAGAGAAGTCTTCTCCGGAGGATCTAGCGGCCAATAGAAATTTGTAATTTTCGACTCCAATTCGCTTTTTTACATACGTCTTCATTGTACAATTTGCTGAGCTGGGAACTGTCCTTCTTTATTGGGTCGATCAGCTGTATCTGCCCCGTGGAGAATCCCACCAGCAACGGCGCGCTGTCGGCCGTCGCTGTCGTTTGATTGAAATTGTGGCAGGTCGGATTAGTTCCCTTGTATAACTTTTTGTCCACCGGCTTGTTCAAGTCCACGGCCTGAAACATTTCAACGATGCGTCAGCTCGGAGCGTCGCGTGAAAAACTCGCCTTCCGCGAGAGCTGTTTAAAGACGCGGGTATCCGCGAGAGTTTACGGTTGTTCGCGGAAATCCTGACAATCACCTCCGTCGCTTTTTTTTAAATATTTCTTGCGCATAAATCAACGATTCGATCAACGAGTACCGAGAATCGAGATAGCGGTATTATCTGCGATGCTATTAACGCGATTATTCGGTTTCGCTTCTGAGAAACGTCAGCGCTCGCAGACGGAGAAAACAAGGGGAGAAGAATGAGGGAGGAGAAAGAGCGCGACGAACCGACGCGGGTCGACCCGAGAGGAAGCTCTCGACGTCGCGTCCGTCGTCGCGGAGGGCCGGGGGTGCTTTGGGGCGAGACGAGCCCGCCGCAAAGATGGAGGTCTCGACGTTTTGCGAGGTTAGGTCGCGACGACGGCGGCTCGCGGGGGACCCGGGAGCCGGGAGCCGGGAGCCGGGCGCGTCGCCGCGGGGCCGCTTGCGGCTCACCTTCTTGACGCCGCGGTAGACGTAGACGTAGAGCTCCTTGCCGAAGTTAAAGCACATTCGGTCGCCGAGGCCCTGCGCGCCCGTGGGGTCCGCTGGGTCCGGCAGCGTGACGAAGGACACCCTGACGGACGCGCTGCCCTGGCTGTTGGTGTAGCCGACTCGGTTCGGTCTCGAGTACTCCGACAGGGTCATCAGCTTGTAGGTGCCCTCCCGCGTGACGAATTGTGTTTTCAGGTCCTCCTTCCCTCCTCCGTCCAGCTGCACAGCCATCTTACCACCAACAGCAGCAGCAGCAGCAGCAGCAGCAGCGGCGCAGCGGAGGAGCTCATCAGACACGCAGGGATATGTCGCTCGTAGGCCGCCCTCGTTTCTGGCCCGCCGTCACTCCGCCGTGTCGTCGACCACCGCCGTCGACCGCCCGTCCGTCCGTCCGTGCGCGACGCGTGCGTGCGTCGTGCGTCGCCGCCGTCCGATCGGTCCGATCGCCGTCGTCCCTCCGTCGACTACCTCGCCGTCGCTCGCGCGTGTCACTCCCCTCGCCCCGGTCCCCGTCCCCGTCACCGTCCGCGCGCGGGCAACTTGACGCGCGCGAAGCGAGCTCCACCGGCGGCGCGACCGGCCGCCGCGCCGCGCCGCGCCGTCCGTCGCCCGCGATCGGCAGAGCCGCTGCCGCCCGCGGATACCGCGCCGATAACCGCACGTAGACACCGTCGCGTCCTCTCGCCGGCCGCCTGTCGCTGCTTGTGGCTCCTGGGCCCTTAGCCTCGACCCTCTCGCCGTCCCTTTCCGCCTCGCACGACGCGGCGCGAACGAGATAAGGGCGCACGAAACTGCTACTACGAAACCGTACGAAACTACTGCTCGCGTAGCGTAGTGCGCTCACCGAACGCTGGCGGCGGCTCGGGCCGTCAGGAACGCGCCGGCGGGGCCGGCGCCCCGCGCCAAATCGACGCCCTTTTGGCATTGCAATATTTGTATCTACCTCGAGTAGAAACACAGCGAAAAATAGGAGTGCACGGAACAAGTGGAAATTTGGCGTCGCTTCATTTTTGTTCCTTTACGAAACTTCGATGTTATTCCTTTTGCTCTCGAATGAAAATTTTCGCTTCGACCGGCATAATAACAGAGTGTCAGAAGCGAGATAACGATGACACGATTATAGCGATTTCGAGAAAAACGAGACCAAACTTTGCGTTTCAATTCAAAGAGCGATAAGGCTGATTTATCGAACTGCCGTATAGAATTAACCCTTTCACGTCCGTGACATCTCTTGTCGTTAAGTTTCTGCCGATATAATGGCTTTTCAAGAATAGAATACGTCGAATCGATTCGACATTGTCTCGACGTCAACTAACAAATCATTTCTCGCTGGACTCATCTTTTCAATTCTTTTGAACACAGTAATTTTGCAAACGTTTCTTTCAGTTTCAAACGAGTCCCCGTCGGACGATGGCTCATGCTGAGTTTCTTGGATCCCAAGAAGTCAGAAAGAGGTGGCATTTTTGTGTCCCCGTAGTCACGAGAGGGTTCGGCTGATGGCAGAGAACGATCCGTGAGCGCTTAAAACTGTCTTAGGTCGTAGACGTAAGGGCCTGAGCAGAATGGCTGTCTTGTATTCTTAAGACACAAGACCGTTATCGTGCGTTACTTTAAGACAAAGATTTAAAAGATAAAACACTGTCTTAAGAGTACAAGACGGATACCACTCTACTCAGGCTCTAAAACAAGGCAGAGAAAAACTGCAATCATATGCAAAATACTTTTCACGACTTTTTTCTGCCTTGCCTTACGTCTACGACTAAGGCAGTCTTAAGCGTTTAAGGCCCGAACACACGAAAACATTTAAGCAGTAAAACTTAGAACTTAAGGGAAATAACCAATTTAAAAAGAGCGTCTTTACGCGCACGTGCCCGGGGCACCGCGCTGCCTTCGCGCGGCACTGGGAGGCCGCGGTGTCGTCGATGCGCGCGCAGCGCGGTCGGCAAATCCGCTTCGACACCGCGCGGCGCGGCGCTGCTTCGCGCGAGCCCTATTAGGGACCGGATATTTTGTAAACAAGCGCGAGCGAAGGGTCAATTAATTTCGCCCGCTCCTTCCTGCTTCCCCCGCGCGTGCCCGTCCTTCCTTCCCGCGACGTCGTCGTTCGCGCCGTTCGACGGCGGGATCGACGGCCGCCGGGATCCGCGCGATTTCCAACGAATTCCGCTTTCGAATGGCAGCGAGCTTTCGTCCCCTTTCGCTCCCTACCCTCTCGCTCACTCCTGCCGGAAGAAGCCCGCCGCGAGCTTCCCGTCGTCTCGCGACGATTCGTATTCGCCGCGTGAGACTCGGACGGCGCGGAATTGCGTTCGTCGAGGATAATTGCGGGGTGGACAACTGTTACGCGTAATTACGCGACGCCGCGTCGAGTCGGGCGCGGGTTTCCGCGCCAACGCGCCGGTTGACTCCAATTTAGCTCTCTGGTCTCGCGTCTCTCTCTGCATCGCGCGCGTCCTACTTAGGATCCATTTTCACCATCGCAGATTAACATTAATCCCGGCTTAATTCGCTATTTATCCTTTTATGCTTTTAGAATTAAAAGAGTTAAACCGAGATCAATGCTAATCTACATTGATGAAAATAGACATTAATAGATTTATTCGCGTTGCATGAAATTCTCAAAAATTCTTGCAATTGAAATATACATATATTAGGAGAGAGGGGGGGAGAGAGAGAGAGAGAGAGAGAGAGAGAGAACGAAAATTCCAAGTGCAAAAAGTGCAATCAACGCGAACAGATCTATTAATAGCTGTTAAAAGGTCCATCTTGATGACGATAAGGAAACACCGATTGCACGGAGAGGCGCATTTTCCCTCGAGGCTGACATTACACGAAGCAGATACTAGAAACGTAATGTTATTCCTGAAGTTGCTCTGCATCAGCCTGTTTGTAACAATTAAAGTGAGATTTTAAAATAATCTTGAAGTGCGATCGATCTTATCGGTGATTTGTAAGACTCAAACTTAATTTAGAATATTCTGAAACTTCCGCGTTACTGTGACTTGACCTCAGCTGAGGTTTCAACAAAATCCATCCTGGGCCCGGTTTCACCAAACGTCGCGTACATTTAGTCTCAGTTTAATTTGTTTGTCTCTTTCTAAGGTAACAGTTGGAAAGAGACAAAGAACGAATTAGGCTAAGCGTAAAGTTAAACAACGTCGGTGAAACCGGGCCTCAATATATTCATGCTATGTATTTTCACCTTAACAACACTCAAACTGAGTTAAACGTGACCCGTCTACACGTTGTAATCACATTGTAGATAGGAAATCAATGAAATTTTAAATCCGGCTAACTTCTATTTAACAAATATTTAATTAAAATTATCTGGATCACTCACAAACCTTTTTAATTGCACTACAAACGTCTTCATACGAAATACCAACGATTCCATATAAAAACTTTATCTAATTTATTTATTGGCGCTAGGTATACGGTGGAAAAATAATTAATTAATTACAAACAAACGAATGACTCACAAACCTTTCTAATTGCACTACAAACATCTACATACGAAATACAAACGATTGCATATAGGAGTTATTTAAAAATACGTTCAGTCGGCGTCAAGTATGAGCGAATGATCTTAAATATAAGAACAGACTATGAATACCGGCCTATGTCTATGAGCGCGACTGAGCTTCCCCCCTCCTCTCCCGCCGCGACGGGCCATATCCGTTAGCGTCGCGCGCCCACCGCCGTTCGAATCTCGCCCGTTGGCGAGTCCGAGTTGTACCGAGTCGCGGAATCCGCGCGGATCGCGACACGCGTTCGAGCGAATTCAATCGTCGTGAGTGCCGCTGGCCACGTTGGACGCTTCGGCCGTCTCAAGCGAGGAACGCCGTACCCGCGCGCCCTGGGATCTCGGAGAGTCGGATGCTCTTGGCGCGACGTCCAGGCCGCTTCGAACGGTGAGTCTTTTCGATCCTATCCGCTCGTATCTGCTAGTTCGTAGATATCTTTGTCGTCTTCGAGAGAGAAGACAGTCGCTTGTGACTGCCAACTGTTTTCTCTCTCGAAGACGACAGTGCCTGCGCTCGGCGTTGTAAATCCGAGGCGTCGAAGTGGTGCACTCGAGCGAGCCAGAGAAGCGAATGAGATAGAAAGGGAGACAGAGCGCTCCGACGAAAATTTACACGGTGCAGTTCGAGCAAATTCTCTCCTGAGGAAGGAGGCGACGTGAGAGGTTGAGATTTAACTGCGCCGAGAGGAATCTGTGAAGAAGTAACTCGGCGTCTTTACGCGCAAGAATTCGCCCCGCATTCCGGTATCGCAACCGGCGACTCGAGCGCGTCGCCAAAATGGCGGCGAAACACGCGCGGCTTCTCGCCTCGATTGGTCGATCCCTCGCGGCGTGAACGGCACGCGGGGTCAGCGTGGCGCACCGTGCACTGCGAGCTGACGAGGTTATGTGACACCTGAGGTCCTGTTGTGTATACGGAAACAGAAGTACGCGGTTGACTGTTTGAGCGGTAGGTTTATTAGACTTGACTGAAATTTATTAGAAACTGAAATTGTTCGAATTGATGTGTTACAAACATCTTAATTATCCTTTAACAACAACTGAATGTGCGATGAAAGATCTCGCTAGGTTTCTTATTTCTCGTCACATGCTGGCTAATATATTGAACAACAGTATATTAAAAATAAAGTATTCAAGGATAACGAAATAAATGCATGTTGTAATGTCATCGTGTCGGTAACCTTCAGGTTAGTTGCGTACGCAGGTATTTATCTTTCCTTTCTCTTTTGCCAACCCTGTAGCCTGCGTAGATAAGATCATATCGTCCGGATGGCACCGATGGGAAAGCGATCGTTTCGTGGTAAGAAGAGGAAGTTTGACGAGCGCAATGCACAAAAGCGACCGAAGCCGAAGAAGGAAAAGTTCGACCTTAGAACGGCCTCCTACGTCAAGGAGCGCGAGGCGAAGAATGAGGAGATCGAGGCCCGCAGGCGGATAATGGAGGAGGAGAAAACGCGGCAGCGACTCGAGGAAGTCGAGAGTTCCGAGGAGGAAGAACTCGATCCGTGGCTGCTCTATCTGTCCAAGTTGCCCGGTTATAAGCACAAGGATTTAATGGGAAAGCTGAGGAAGCCAATCGTGACAAGCTCGGAGAGCGAAAACGAAGATTCCGACTCACAGAACAAAAGTAAAATGGATAAGCAAGCGAGAAAGAAGAAGAAAGTAACGAAGAGTACAAAGAAGGGGAACATCGAAGAGGAGAAAGACGAAGAATCTGAGGCAAGCGAAGAAGCTTCCGATCAGAACGAGGAGATCACAGTGGACGCCAAGGGAGACGACTATGAAGATACCGAGACTGCTCAGGAGGATATCGGTCATCTGAGAGATCCGTTTTCGTTGCATTTGCGCAACGACATGGACGAGGAGCTGTACAAAGCTGTCTCTGCGACGCCACCGATCACGGAGACCACGACGCTGTTGTGGCCCACACTGGGAAATCTGGTGTGTCAGATTCCAAAGCCGGCGTGTGATTCAAGCGAGACAGCCAGAGTCAGAAAACTCCTGGACGTCGAGGAGAAACAGTATACAAATTGTGGGAAGGTTCCGACCCTGATTGAGAGCGTCGACTGGAATAAACTGCACGTGAAGTCGCAGATTCAGAGTAATTTGACGAAAGCTAACTGCGAGAATGTAAAGAGTACCGTAGATAAAGACTCCGCGCCTATGACTTCGCTTCAGAGGGAATTGTTCTCGGTAATAAATAACTATCAAGACTTGCATTATCCTGGAAGGACGTTTTCCAACGCCGACGAGATACGATTCGTCTATTGCCTGCACGTGATCAATCACGTTCTGAAGACCCGAACGAAAATACTGCACCACAGCGCCAAGTTGGCCAAGTCCAATCGTAGCGGCATGGGAGAGGTTCCGGATGAGTACAAGGATCAGGGCCTGGTGAGGCCGAAGATACTCATAATCGTGCCGTTCAAGCATTCTTGCTTGAAGATAGTCGAGACGTTCATCTCGATTCTATTTGGGGAGGACAAAGGCGGCTGTGTCGTCAACAAGCTGCGATTCATGGAGGACTTTACGGGAAACGAGCTGACGATGCCGAAGAAGAATCCCAAGCCGGACGATTACAAGCTGAGCCTGCAGGGGAACATCGACGACAAGTTCAAGATAGGCATGGCGATCACCAAGAAGACTCTCAAGCTGTACACGAATTTCTACGCCTCCGACATTATAATCGGCTCGCCGCTGGGCCTCAGGAGGGTGGTAGGCGCGGAGGGCGAAGCGACGAGGGACTACGACTTTCTGTCGTCCGTCGAGCTGCTGGTCATGGACCAGCTCGACGTGGTCCTCATGCAGAACTGGGATCATCTGTATCAGGTGCTGGACTACATGCACCTGCAGCCGAAGAAATCCCACGACATCGATTACTCCCGCCTTAGAAGCTGGTGCGTCAACGGCTGGACCAAGTACTACAGGCAGACGCTGATCTTCTCCGGTATCGAGTCGCCGTACATAAATACGCTGCTGATTAGAAAGTGTTTCAACTACGCCGGCCAGGTGAAGGTGGCGAACGCGCTCGAGCCGGGCTCGATTCGCGACGTGGCCGTCAAAGTTCCGCAGGTGTTTCACAGGTTTGACGCGTCCGACCTCTGCCAGGCCGTCGACAGCAGGCTCGATTTCTTCCTGAAGGAGATACTGCCGCGCTACACGGATCCTATATACAATCACACCTTGATCTACGTGCCGTGCTACTTCGACTTCGTTTATCTGCGGAATCGCATGCTGAAGGAGAAGATGAGCTTCACAATGATCAGCGAGTACACGAAGGACGGGAAGGTAGCGAGGGCGAGGGATATGTTTTTCCACAGCGACGCGCACTTCCTCCTCTACACGGAGCGCTGGCATTTCTGGCGTAGAACGAGGATAAAGGGTATCCGCCACCTCATATTCTACCAGCTGCCCACCTACCCGCACTTCTACAGCGAGATGTGCAACCTGATGGACAATCTGTATCAGAATCCACGCTCCGGCACGGAGTTCAATATGTCGGTCACCGTCGTTTACAACAAGTTCGACGCCATAACGCTCGCGCAAATAGTAGGCCAGAATAGAGCTGCCAAAATGATAGAGTCGGAATCCAAGGTGCACACGATTAAGTGCTGAGGCTCGAGCTCTCGCTCTGTGAAATACAAAGTAATTATTTTTTAAATGAAATGTAAATAGAACGATCGCTTTATAATATGTTGGACCTTTATTTTTAATCATATAAAACTTACATAAGTTGCCTATCGGATGAATTTTAATCGCGACAAGTAAATACGTTTATATGTAAATACATATAATGAACTTTTCTCATGTCAGTTACTGCGCACACTTCTGTTCCCAATAATTACAAAAATATTCTCTTCTTTCAAACTGTCAATATAACAGTAGGAAAAAGGAATCCGAACGGATAAACCTTGGCGAGAAATTTTACATTTGTTATCTAACCGTTTTTGTTACACAATGAAGATACAACATTTGCCTGTGGTTTAAGTTATGAGAGAGACCAAAGTCCGCGATAAATGTAACTTTATTTATAATTCCATTATTATTATATTGTTGATTTCTCGTGTCTTCGCCGTTCACATAATTTTAGACGATTAGATACCTAAATTATTCTAATGCGGCTAGTTTCTACGTTCCAGAAAGTAATTCTAGTTTTTATAAGGTTTCTCCCGTTTGGCAAATTCAGGCTAATACGATTTCTAACGTTTCTCTGTCCGGAAGGTACTGGAACTGCTTCCTTAAACGTACTAATAGGTATTGATACTCTATTAGCGATTACTAGTTTGGTTTCCTTATGCCTTATTACTTTCAACGCGAGGTGCGAAAGGCCCGATACCCGCTTACGTAACGCTCTCGTCGTCTTCGTTCGTAATGCTGGTGAAATTATGATAATCCCGCGTTGTCGATACTGACGTGAGCTCCACAGACGTATCCTCGACGTCCGCAATTTCCGTGAGGATTTCCGAGAAACTTTTCTGCCGTTGAGTGGTCGATAAATCAATTTGCTCCGGCTGTTTATTGTCTACCGTAGATCTCGCGGCCATCCTTTCGCTCTGTGTCTCTGGAAAAAGAGAGAATATCGTCAAATACAATTGCAGCGGAGTATTCACAATTCATTGCAAATTTATAATATAGAAATTGACTTATGCCTGATCCATTTAATATCTCACGAGACACTTGTAGCGTAGAGATTTTTCTTTTAATTAAAAAAGTGCTATTGTATGAAGCTTTCACGGTTTTCATGGCCCCTGGAGCTTTCGCAATTTATTTTCAATTGAGAAAATGAAGAATTCCAGACTAATGAATGTCATTAAAATTATAATTTTGTGACATTTATTAGTCTGGAATTTTTAATTAATACGAATCGCTTTGCAGCGAGTTTACGTTACTCTCTTTTCGTGACTTTTAACGGCAAAGAATACTCCCCCGTGTCCTTTAATTCGACTTTTAACGTCTTTACCGTTGGAGATCGGTGGAGTCATGAAGTCGAGAGGAGGCTTCGAACATTCCGGCTTGTCGGTGCTCGCCCTCCTAATCGAGTGATCCTTAGGGTTCCAAATGAAGGTGTAATACAAAGACAGCAATATAGCGGCCAAACTGACAAATATGACGTACGCGACCACCGTCAGCACTCGTATCAGCTTCTGCTTGTGCTTCGGCTCGTAGAGCTTGTCTTTTCGCTCCTCCCCGGCGAGGCGGACCTCGTTGGGTGCCGTCGTTTTGCTCTCGCGGTTGCCCAGGGTGCGACCGATGCTCGCCATCACGTTGTGGGCGCTCATCTTTCGCGGTAAATGCATCCTCGATTGCGCGCGAGGGTTTCACGTCTCCGCCGACGGGACGCTCGTCATCCCGCGAATGGACCGCGACGTGAGGCACTCGACAGGGATCGTGCGATACGCAGGCTTTTTCTCAATACTGAAAAGTAGTTGGTGAACGCTCGAGAAACGACCAACGGGTCGAGAGCGTTAGCACAATTTAGCTTGCGTTGAACCGCGAATATTCTCCCCGGGAAAAATAATCCAAGTTGTGCAGCATCTTTATCAGTCGTTGACTGTGTGCTACAAGTGCCTGTTAATCCGGATGAATGCTTTTTTTTCCCAAAAGAGGCAGTGGACAGATTTCGATCCTAGCTTAGAAACAGAGTTTTAGAGATTGTATCCTTGATCGAAAGCACCTTTTGATGAATATATCAGCGACGTCGTGCGTCGTCGGCCAGCACGAGTTAAATTACATTCAAAAGGAACTAGTTCCTTTTCGCGCTATATCTCCAAGTGGGCGTACCTCGGCGTCCGCAAATGACGCGCGTTTATTTCCAGCAGCATGACATGCTCACGGGACGCTCGATTTGCCCATGCGGGGATCCCGATACAAAGATCGCTCGTTCGAGTACCGTTCAGTCACACATCGCGAGAGAGAAACGTGTACCGCGACAGGGCGTGCCTCGCCCGAGACGAGCTTCACCCGCGGGCTCCAGATTCTGCGGCGAAGGTTGACTCACGCGTCCGAGATCGATAGGCGAGCCAGGGGAGGCTTTCAGTCTCGCTCGTCTTCCACCGCGGGACTAAACACGCGCGTTTTACGCGCTGGCTATTTCCGTGTGCTGCTGGCTCTCCGTGGACGGCCGTGTCCCGACCCGTGTGTTGTGGAGCGACGAAAAAAAAGCGCACCCACCACGGATACGTGCACGGGGAAGCGGCGAACCCAGTGCGCAAGCTCCGGGACCTTGACCAGCCGAGAGCTTTTCGCTTCTCGCGCCAGCCGGGGGCTGATAAACTTACGAAGATAGCACCGAGGCCGTTACACCGGCCAGGATTTGCTCCGTTTAATCGGTTTAATTTTTTTTTTACGGCTTCCCTGTTTAACCCTTTGACGGACGCGCCTTGAAAGTTACAAATCCGGGCGCACGTATCGCACGTATACACGTCTCGACTTTCTTTACCTGAATCTCGATTATCTCCAAAGGCACGAGAGATTAATGGAAAGTGAAACAACGAGAACTAGATTAAACGTTATTTTTTAAATTCGTTTCTAACTGGGTGGGTCAATATAAAGAATATCAATGATACGCAGCCATGGTTTCAGATAAGCCCGGGGAAAAAAGCCGTATATCCAGTTTTATCTAATTGTATCAAATAATGTCAGATGTGACAAAATTTAATCAGATTATATCCTAATTTTAATGCATCCATTTATAAGTATATCAAATCAGATGTGGTCAGATATAGTCGGATAAAACTGTATAAACATCTGACTATATCTGACCACATCTGATTTGATACACTTATAAATGAATGCATTAAAATTTGGATATAATCTGATCAAATTTTATCATGTCTGACATTTTTTATACAATTAAAATTGGATATATTTTTTCCCCGGGAGGCGACAAAAAGTCTTATAGAATATAAAATTTTTATAAAGTACAATATTGAAAAATATAACAAAGAAGGGAAAAAGTTACAATTCATACATTTATAGTCAACACCTTCGTCTTCAATATAAAAACTAAACATGACTCTCACTTAATCACAGCAATAGTTGCAAGGAAACGGGAGAAAACACGAGCGTATCCATCGTATATTCGCGCCCATCGAAGGGTTAAAATGACAGCGTGATGTATTAGATTGCAACACATGAGAAATGTCGGGTTTTTAAGCAGTTATTTCAAACAGTTTTTCTCGGAAAAATATATGTTATTTTTAATGTATTTTCGCTCTCGGAAGAAGAGAAGCTGTAAGAAAGAGACGCGGTTTTATTACGCAGAAGATAAATTATACAATGAAAAGGGATGTCGACAGTTTTACGAGCAAATAGGAACTGTCGTTCTTCCAAGATTTGTTTATCTTCTCAGGCTGTTTATATTTTATACAATTTGAAGGAGTGCTATTATTATTTGAGAGCCTTCCGCTCACTACCGTTTGATCCTCAAGACCGTTCGTCGAATCCTAAGAAAAGTAGCCGAAGGGTATAGGGATTTATTGACACGCTAGAAAAGAAAATTGCATTGCTGCAGATGTCTTCGTGGATAGTGTAGAATAATAATACGTGGATAAATGGACTTAATTTGAGAAAAACAATACCATACTTTTCTAAAAAAAAATCCACGTATGTGCGTTATATTATTTACATGCTTTGCATTTTTCTAAATGCGCGATGGATACGTTGTAGAGAGCATAAAAAATCCATATAATTCACATTGTAGGAGAATCGTCTTTACGTCTGATTAAAAAAACTGTTTCGGATAAAAGTACGGGAAAAAAGTGGGGAAGAGACGAGCGGAATATTTTACCGGCGAGATATAGCACAGCCTCGAAATGGGATTAAATGTAACGAGAGTTGAATAAAGACTGCCTGGATTACTAAGCAATTTCGTTTCGAGAATGAATCGACGCGACTTTGTCGCTTTTCTTGTCCTATAAAGGGAGGCGCGCCTTTGTTTTAGTAGAACGTCACAGCGCAACCCCTCGATCTTTTCTTCGACAAACAAAGTGCCGCGATCCCTTGGTGTAAGTTTCGTATAACCAAGAAAACGGGCGGGAACCTTGAAAACGCAGCTTCTGGAAAATTATGGTCGGACTCCGTTAAATTATATAAAGTGTCTCTGGCACAAATACTGAGAGTGATATTTTTTTCAACATGACAAGAAGGAAGCCTTTGAGCCTTTAAAATTGCATGGTCGATATTGTTATCAAATTGAGACGCTTAAATCTGTATTTGCATTTCAAAGATTTATCTTGGAAAAATTTTATTTCGTAATTTTTATTAAGAAAGCTCACTATGAATTTTTCGTGTACGACTCGATGACAGCTTTTTATTCGTATATCATAAAATTTATTCGGATCGGAATTTGTATTAATTATTTCATCTTGTAACTGACGCTTCAAATTTTTGTAATACATAATATCGATAAATTATTGGCGATAAATCGTTCGTTTTATTTTAGCTTCGCGATGGAAGATTAACGACTTACTTATCGCAATTGCAGCCGTTTGTTAAATGTGATAAGTTTAAAAGTAATAATATTCAAGAGTGATCGGATCTTGAATGTGATGTAACGTCGAAGAAGCCGTATAATAAATTGAGCTGGCCCTGTTTCACTTATTACTCGGTGACTACGCGGATCATCGTGTACCGATCCATCGACTTATTTCTAAGGCTTTAATTGCTCCCCATTATTTCTAAGGCTTTCATTGCTCTCCATTTGTTGTGTCCGTTTAGAATCCTCTCTTTTTCTCTAGAGAAATTATTTCCCTGTTGAATGTACATAAAGGAAAGTCCCCTATTGTGAGATAAGCTGCTAATATGTGGTAGCGGAGTTTTTGATTAATTAATTGGCTTCATCTGTTGATTCCATCCTGAATTTATTGCCCTCAGAGTGAAACCTGTTTAGTGGAAAATTGATTGTTAGATCGTGTAATCGTTGCGAAATAAGATCTGTAATTGAATTTGGATGTTGAAAATCTGCTGTCTCGTATTAGAATCCTATCTCATAATAGAGGACTTTCCTCTAGATACACAATATAATTTACTTCACAGAAAAAGGGTGTAATCTCTTTAAATATTTAAGTATGAATATCTTTCAAAATATTATATATATATTACGTTATATAACGCAAAACGTGGAGCGAAAGCAGCGGGTGAATTATTACAGATAAAAATATGCTGTACGACAGAAACGTATAATTCTATCACGTTCACACGAAGAACACGAAATGGCACTAAACCGATTCGAAGAGACGTTTGATAGGCAAATAAATTTCGCGTGAAAATTCGGAAAATTCAGACAATGAACGACCAAATGATCCGCATATCTGTTTAGTCGAGTGAACAGCAGCTACACTTTGACGAGACTAGCGAAAAGATAAATTGCAACAGATGTTCCAGCAGCTGCGAGAGCATCGATTCGTACGTTCGCTCGTCTCAAAGTCTCAAAGTTGGTGGAACGTCGTGCAAAGACAAATTAAATAAACTGTTTCAAATTTCATTTATTTCACGTCGCGCTCATCAATTTGACTTTGCGGTATTTCTTGAAAAAAAAAACCTTGGAAAAGGGGGGGGGCTTCGTGGTTCGCGAACATGCAGAAGCGTTACGATTCCAGCGGCGTCTAGGAAAAAAACCGCTGGTGACGTAACTCATTGTATAACCACAGTTATTGTATAATCACGCGGTCACGTTTCGCGCGGCCGTGTTTATCCCAGCGGCGGCAGATCCGCGCGAATTCTCTCACCTTCGGAATTTCTCGTCCCCGCGGTGCGTGACCGTGATTCTATGACGGCCGGCTTATCCGGCGTCTGATGGAATCCCGGACCGTCGGTGAATCCCAAGTTGCGAGACGACGGGTCGATCGATACCGTATCGCGCGTGATCTGTCCGATCCGGCCTTCCGAGGAGGACCCGACGTTGGAATAACTTTCCTGGGGATTCTGAATACCACCGTTTACGCCTTGCTCCGATGTAACGCTCGCCGGTAAGTCGCTCAGGTCGCTAACTAACTGGCGATCGTCGGTCTTGTTTCGTTCCATCGGTTCCTTCCTACCGATCTTCAGGAATTCTTGGATCATTCTGGAAGAATTGTTGCCTCCGAAAACGCGATGGTGATCGCCGCCGGTGGTCACGTCGTGGCTTGTCGTCGCGTTGCTGAATCCACGCGCAAGGTGCGATCCAACGGCATCGAGCTTCCTCTCGCGATTCTTTCCCTCGGTAAACGGATTGACGCTGGTAACAGAATCTCCGCCGAAGTGGCTCTCGCTCGTCTCGGTTCCAGGAATAGTCGTGAACCTCGACGTGCTTTCGACGCCTAGCGTACTCGTGGAATCCGCGAATTCCGGAGGCGAATCAGCGTTATCGCCGTAAGTCTCTTTCCCGGACTCGCCGTGTCGCGAGGTCGCGTTCCCCGCGCGATCTCTCGTCGAATTAAACACTGTTCCCGCGCGCACGAACGAATTGTCGAATTGCCCGCTGGGAATCGCAGTCTCCCGCGAGGAATTTCGACGCTGCGCGCGTAGGGTGTCCACGAGCGAGTGCCTGAGCTTCAGCAACGCCGTGTTCAGTCTTCGTTGTTTCTCCTGATCGGGTTTGTCGCGGGGATCGACAGCGGGATCCTCGCCGTCGTACGCGATGCGACTCAGAAGAAAAGGTTTGTGCACGCGATCGACCTCGCTCTGCGGGAGGAGACCGCCGTCCTTCGTCGTCAGGTCCGTTCTCTCCGCGGGAGGCGACATCAGAAACTGCATCTGCGGATCCGCCCGCAGATGCGAGCGCATGAGCCTGGGATTCGGCGGCTCCCACAGGAATATGTAGTAGGCGCTCAGGAGAATACCCACGAAGCTCACCGAGAACAAGTAGGCCATCACGGTGACCACGCGGATGATCTTCTTCGGCTTGCGATTCTCGTAGATGTCCGCGTTCGGGTCTTTCGCCGAGGCGTCCGGCGAGGAGGCGTCCTGCGACTTTCCCTCGCCGTCGCTGTCCTCCTTGCTCATCTCGACTCGCGCGCTCAAGTCTCTTCGGGATGCGGGGGTCGGAGACGCGTCAATTGAAAATGTTGCTCCCCTCAGTCATGACTCTGCGCTCTCGCGCACGTCGCCAGGGAGGGTATCTTCTCTTCGCCGTTCATCGCGAGGCCATCGGGTAGCTCACTCGAGATCTTCTCCGGTCTGCTACTTGCACGCGGCGAAGACGGCGCTCCTCGACGGTTCCCGGCGGCTTTTATCAACCGCCATTCGCGATTACACAGGAAACGAATTTGTTATCTACCGTTTGTTTTAGCGTTCTTTTCGTGTCTGGCTCGTGTTAATGGCTGTTTGTTGCTTCAGGCCCGCTAAGGGCGGTAAATATGAATGAGTGACGAGGGGTAAGCGCTCCGGTAGCGATGGCACGCGCGACTGCAAGTTCTCGGCGAGCGACGCGCCGCGGAGAAGCTCGGCCTCTCCGCGGCGCGTTCACCACGTGTTCGGCCGCTCGCGCAAGCGTCCTCGCCCGCACCTGCCACATGGTTTACACTAAATCTTGACAACAGTTTCCGAGTGACTTGCGAGAAGTTCTTTTACGAGCGATCTGCAAAGCGAAACGCCGCCTCGTCTCGCCGCGGGCACGACTTTATTAGTCTCAGCGTGCATACACATGCTCGAATCGTTCATAGTCGAACACTTGTTATCAATCCTGTTGATCCCGCGGCAATTTCTCCTCGTTTTCCGCTACAATCGCGCCGTCCTGCTTAAGATGCGACCGCGAGGAATTCGTACTTGTAGCGGAAGTAAACGACTTCTGATCGTCGGAATCCTCCTCCTCCTCCTCCTCCTCGCGCTCCGAAAAAGTATTGCCGTCGTCTCTCGAGCAATCCGGCGGTTCGTCAGCTACCGAGCGGTCTCCATTGCGCCGTCCTTCCACCTCTTCCAAGGAAGATCCCGCGGTCCTTGAGGATCCTTCGGGACATTCTCTCTCCTCGCCGGATAGATTGCCGCTCGCCGAGTTTAGATGCCGCAGTAGCCGGTGCAACCAATTCCGGAAGTACTCCTTCATGACGAGCTCGTTCTTGCTCCTCGTGGACAGAGACCGGACGTCTTCCGGGCGCTTCCTCTCGACCTTCAAGAATTGCTCGAATTTCCGCAGGTCCTTCGCCGTGAAGATGTTCCCGTCCAATCTCACGTCAGAATTGGTCAACATCGACGTCAGCCGCCATCTCCCGTTTCTTCCGTTTTGCCGTGGTACGTGCTCGTGCGATTTCCAACGGCTCTTCCCGCCGGAGATAGATCCTTGTTCCGAAACAGGGTCGGATTTTGTCAAAACGGCCGAGGCGTTATCTTCTCTCTCCTCGGATAGCGACCGCGAACTTTCGCCATTCGTCTCCGCGGTTAAAGCCGAGGGAGCTCTCTCGGATCCGAGCGATACGAGCGGCAAGTTGGGAATGGATCGTTGCTCGTTGAGCAGACGAAAGATCTGCATCAGTAGATCGTTGGAACAGTCGAAGGTAGATGACGTCGGCGTCTGCTGATTCTGCTGCGCGATTAATGAATTCAACGCCGACATCAACGTGGGCGCGTATAATAGAACGGCCAGCCTGTATAAATAATTAATCGTAAATAAGATTTTAAAAGAGCACAAACATTGTTATTTTAAGCAAATCCTTATTTTATTTGCTTATTTAAAAAATGTTATGTTCTTCCTCGTTTCTATTTCTGAATGTTGAAAGTTACAAGTGATGTGATCGAAGATATATCGTACGCGTGTCTTTTACCGGCCACTCGATTTTTTTTGTCGTTGACGATTATAGAGAGATGTAGACGAAAGTCCCCTATTACGAGATAGGCTTCTAATATGAGAGCGGGGTTTCTGTTAAATGTTTCTGTTGATTCCGCCATGAATTTATTGCCCTTAGGGGGAAATCTGTTTAGTGAAAACTTTACTGCTTGCGTAATCGTTGCGAAAAAGATTTGTGATTAAATCTGGGTATTAATAACCCGCCATCTCATGTTAGAAACCTCATAATAGAGGACTTTTCTCTATTTATAAATCTTGAGTGCGGAATGAAAGACACTTAGGCCGGTATTCATAGTCTGTTCTTATATTTAAGATCGTCTTAAGTATACTCTTAATGTGTTTTTAACCAATCACAGAGCCGTATTAGCCTCTTAAGACAATACTTAAGATGATTTTGAAATAAGAATCGACTATGAATACCGGCCTTAGAAACGTATACGAGCGAGTGAATGAGCGGATCATAAATACCTCAGGAGTTGTATTGTGAGACCGCTGGAATCTAAAATAGGCTCGGTGGCTGATGAGTGCGTCACAGGATTGTACGTCGTGTGCACCGTGCTCCTCGGGGTCGGCGTTCTTCTTCCGGTTCGCGGGTTTGCTCGATTATCGCGCTCATCGCTGGAACTGGGATTATTAAACAAAAAAATCCATCTGTTACAGCCGACAGCTCACTTACAATTATTCATTAAATTATTACAAGGGAGAATCAAGAAGGAAAGAAAGTAGGCGTACTGCAGAAATATATTTTTGCAACCTCCGTACTTTTAGGATATAAAATGATGTGTTTTTATAAAAAATAATCTCACTAAATAATTTTAAAACTATTCCTCGATTTCAAGTCGAAACACTTGATTTCAATTAATAAGAATTACTGTATTCTTTGCGGCAATTGCGGCCATTATTGCACACGCTAACGTTCTTGCACATTTTCTCACAATTTAACTTAATATGAGACTTAATGTTTTAAGCCAAATAATCAAAGAAGGGTATCTGTTAAGACTCATCTCTTCGACCCTCTTTCTTGAACTTTTCTTCAATTCTTTCTTTCGCTTTTTGCTACATTAAATCTTATATCAGGCTCATACCTCCCCGCAGAAACCCCCGTTCGACGCTGCGACTTTGTCCCTTCGTTCCTCAGGGCTGAATTATCGCGAGGTCGATCGTCCGTCTCCTCCTTGCGAAACATTCTCAGGAAATTCGCGTACTTCGGCGTGGACACGTGCTTCTTCCAGAACGGTTTCCCCGTCATCGGCATCCTGCCGTTCCTAATCCTGCTCCTGGTAGCTTTCTCATCCGGAGTGAACATTGCCGGCGCATCGATGACGCGCGGTTCAATCCTCTCGGCCGTTCTCGGCCGATCCTGCTGGCCGCCGGTCTCCAGATCGAGTTGGACCGCTATCGCTCGATCTTCCGGATCGTCGAGCTTACCTTTGCCGCCGCGTCCTTGTCCCGCTACGCGTCCGTTTTGATCAGTCACGACGCCTGACTCGGCGGTCGGCAGCAGGACATTTCCCTGACAGCTGGCCGGTTGCGGCTCGATCGATCGTCTATCGCTGTTATTTATCGCGACGCCGACGTCGTCGTCGGGCTTGACGAGCCTCGATTCCGCCGGATGGAAAATCTTCGCCGCGCTGCTGACGATTTTACTGACATCCTGGCACGCTTCCATCGACTCTTTGGAGCTCCGCCGCTTCATCGCTCCGTTGTCGTTTCGGGCCAACGCAGTTCCGGTGCAGTTCTGTAAAGCCTGGGCAATGTTGGAGCCAGCGGATGTTACCGAGACCGGAAGTTATTGCGCGCGACCGGATGAGCAATTTCGCACTTTTCTCTTTTAATCCCGTACTCTGGAGCGCAGCGCCAATTGACATTTTATAGCGGAACTTGCGAGGATGAAGACGGAATCTCCAAATAAACAAATAAACGGGTTACGCTGTGCCATAAATTCCCCATCCAGTCGCGAAACAACGCAAATATTGTGACGTGATTCCTAAACATTTATTTTACACCAAAAAAAAAAGCGAATATTTGGTTTCCGCACATCGCACGAGAACGCATATTGTCCGCCGGAATATCGATGCGGCCTGCACAATCGGGAAGCCTGGTGCGTTTTGGAGTTGAAACAGCGGTAGACGCGGCTGGACATTTTACGAGTCGATTGTTCTATTTCATGGCGATCGCTATTTTCGGATTGTTAACACTTTCCTGTCAGCAGGTCGCTACGATTTACTCAATATTTATCTGCGAAATATCTGCGAAATTAGACGTTCCCCGGAATAGTATATACAGCGCTATTTACAAATGTGACAATCAATATGCAATAGTTGCAATAATCCGATGTTGCTAAATCAAATTACCTTCAACTCATAGAAATCATAGAAATACGTGCTGGCTTGTGTTGGCTCGCGGGCTATGTATGGTGCGCTAATGTGTAGTTCGCGTGCAATTCTCGTTGGAAAAACCGACTGATACGGCGCACGACCCTAGTAGTACAATATATTGGCGCAATATATTGGAAAATAATGTAAATATACTATAGTATTCCCAATATCGGTCCAATATCGTGACGCCTTCTCTTATTCAGCCAATATGTCTATTTAGAAATATTGGTTTAATATTGTATCAATATTAGACCAATATTCTTATTACATTGTTAAATATTGGCCAATGCACTTCCAATATAAATCTGATATTATATAATTATTATCGTGCAATATTTACATTTCTTCTATGGTCAATATTGGCTTCACGTTGGACAATATCGGCCAATTTCTCATGTAACCAACATTGGACCAATGTTTAGCCAATGCACTGTGCTACTTGGGGAGTGTGTACGGCGATGGACAGAATGGTTGCGATACTTGTTTTTATTTCCAATGAGTTCTGGAACTCGAGAAATAGATCGGAAACGCTCAAAATGGTTTCGGAATGGCCACCGAGTAAAATATTCCTCGGAGAAGAAGATTGTGAAACGTAACCTTAATCTATAAATCCTAAACTCATTAAGAAAAAAGTGTCGCAACCACTCTGTCCGTCGCTGTACCATGTGCAGTTTACGTATTCCTTCGGAAAACCGATTTCACGATTCGAAGATGTCACATTAGCGGATGACAACAAGTCCGAAATTACAATTTCAGTTAGCTGTTGGTCTCGGTGACGTTAATATTAATTTATAGCTCGTCGGTTGCGACAGAAATCGCGTGAGCTTACGAGACGGAAGGACCTATTTTCTAAGGACTTCCATCCGTCAAAGTTGCGCTTAAGTCTGTTCTGCACGCGGCAGTAACTTAGGATATCTAATTACACAGATTAAATTAACGCACGTTGTTGTTGGGTTGCAGCTTCTTGACCGTCGGACTGCAGAAGCCGGAAGTTTGCGGGAAATGCTGCTTGGTAGTTCTTGGTGAGTCGTTGAACTTCTAAAAAAGTTATTAATTGCGTCGTTCGGCGAATAATCAGCATGGCTTTCGTTGGAAATCCCGCATAACGCATTGGAATATTAAAAATTCAAAGCGTTATACATGTAGAACTTCACATATTACTACTGGTACAACAAGAAGAGAATTGTTTTTTTTAATTTTTCCGAAACTTATGTAATCCTGAGACAACGTGTCATTTTGAAGAATTTTGTGAGAATTGTTTGAAATTTTACTGGTAAAATGTATAGTAAAATTTCAAAATGCCATGTTGTCCCACGGTTTTCAGGGTAAGTTTTCAAAGAAAATTCTCTCCTTGTGGAATATTACATTGACCAAAATGATAACGTTCTGTATTTCATTACCCTGGGCGAATTTTCTTTCTGTCTCGCTGATTGCTGATTTATCGAGCAACCGTCCTTGTTCTTTCTGTCAGCAATGCACGATTCGTGCCCGAATAATGCACAAGTCTGATCGATTCTCTCTCGCGGCTTGACATGTCTCTCGTGTCCCAGAGAAGGATCATTTCTCGCGGAGTACGCTTGACTACCGGCAGGAAATTTATTCCAATTGCACGTCGCCGCGCGCTGCACATCGGAAATCACAATAAGCAAATAAACAACATGATCTACATCGTATAAAAGAAATTTTCACTTTTGATTAGAAATGCGGCTGAACCTGATTGTGAAACGCATTCTGGCATCCCGCGATTATGTTGCGTTCGGCTAGGGGTGCTAATATTCTGGCCCTCAGCAATTCCTTCTCGATTGCTGCATAATTTTCATTTATCTGCCTTATGTAATACCTAAGTAAATCGTTACATCTGACCGCGTTACTGTTGCACGGCGGTCGGCGAAATCCGTTACGAGATTCGGTATAACTGGGCAACGCGTTACTTCTGCGCCAATAAAAATTTACATTTAAATTCATTAAACCGCTGGATAAGAATTTGAAGAGAAAGAATTCAAAAATAATTTGAAGAGACGCTTCTATTTAAGATTATATTGCTCGTTATTATAATAAATATCGTCAATAATTATAATATTGTCATAGTAGTCTAATAAAACGTAGCCCTTATTTTGCTTTCAAAGCAATCTTTCGCATGAAAACAAATAATCCTCGTTTAAGGCCTGTGTCCACGATGCGAGAACTTGGTCCAAGTTCTAGTTTTGAGAAATGTACAGTCAATCAACTTGCAACTTTTATGGAATAGCTGCAAGTTGATTGGCTACACATTTCTCGGAGCTAAAACTTGGACTAATTGTAAGTTCTAGCATCGTCTCTAGAGAGGAATCTCGGGAGAGAAAAAAGTGTACCGCTGATATGTTTCCCGCGGCTGCCAGCGAGTGCCATCGAGAATGGTGAAGCTCACGTTGACTCGCAGACTTTGATTCGACGGGAGGGACAGCGAGGATAGGTGTCTCATTAAATGATTAGCGCGCAGCAGGTCCGGAAGACGTATGTCGTAGCTCTGATTCGGAGTGAGCAATCGGTCCCAGTAGTCGCACAGAAATTCGAGATCGCGCCGTGTCCTCCGATAAAGATAATCCGACGGTTGCGGGTAGACGGAGCGTTTCGGCATTTTTGTATTTCGTGACTGAATAACTGAGAATTTCGAGGGATTCGCTGGCCTAAAAATGTGGTATAGGTTGTTGGGTCTTTTCTACTCGGATCGCTATTTGTTCTCTTGGCTACGTCGATCGTGGGACTCGAGGCGAGGCTCTACTCGTCTTTTCTGCAACGTGAAATTGTTTCTCTGCAATTAATGTTCCGTGTGTCCAACTTTACTTCTACGCTGACTACATTTTCTTCTCTCGAAAGTGTACGTATGCCAAACTTTGCAATTCTTTCGATTGTTACTTGACAAATATGCAAATAGGATTAAAGTCGCTATTACCTTTTTATTGCAGAAAATGCCAAGCACAAAACGTAACGTAATGATTTATTGCAAAATTAGTTTCAGGCGCAGTAATATTGCTTTCGTAAAAATCGCACATCGTATAATATTTAACAGTACTCTTGACGTCCCACATAGCACATACTTGTAATATTGCAGTGATGTTAAATATTGCAATGTAATATTACAGTAATACTACTGATATAATACATTTATATAATACATTCCAACATTACATTAATATTACTGATATATTATATAGAACTATATTACACAGTAATATAACAGTAATATTGATGATGTCAAATGACTTTTTAATTACGTCTCATTACGTTTTAATGCGTCATTAAAATGCCATGAAGACGTCATTTAATGTCATGTTGCTATTTGACACTTTCCAATGTATATCGCATTGAAGTGTGAATAAAATATTATAAGGGTAATTTGTAATATGACGATAATCATCTTTGAGAATGACTACAAAAACGCACTATTAAACAATTATTGAAGAGATTATACAGCCTGTGACCGTCTTTTCCGTAGGGCCGTCATATCCGGCTTTATCCTAATCTAATTCCTTGCAATATTACAGTAATATTAAGTGATATATTACAGTACATTACGTGATACATCACAGTAATATTATTGCGATTATCACAGTAATATTACTAGGATTATCTCGGCAATATTTCATTGGGCGGACATTTTAATATTACTGTGATATATCAGTAATATTACAGTAATATTTCCGATATATTTTATTGTAATATTACTTTGGAAATGTAATATTACGTGCTATGTGGGGTGCTAGGTCTCGAGTCCTTGCTTATTGTCGCTCTTTGGATGGAGCTTATGATTTCTTTCTCGCCCCTTGGCAAGTAGTGGACGAGATAGCTACCAGCGGAATGTACAATGAAACTCATTAGCTCGGGATATCAATAAACACCCGCGGCGATTTTATCGATGCCTTTTTTACGACGTGTCGGATCACAGAAGGTTCGGAACGTGCGATCTAGATTTATGCCGCGACCGCGTGAAACATCATTCGCTGCTTCCTGTGTATATTTTCGCAACAGCGGTCTGATTAACGGTAACACGTGTATACAGAAATGTATATTCACGGTTTAAGCGAACTTTAAAACCGTTGTCCCACCATTGCTACGCGCGAATCTACGTTCATTTTTTAAAAAAACCTTTATCTGTTATGATTTCCCTCGCAGGCGGGAAAAAGTTTGGAAAAAGCAAATGGTATCGACCTGTCAATACGCGGATAGCGAGCTGGCGCTATTTGTCGCCATTTTGACGTCGAAATGTCGTTAAACGTGTCATTTCACCGTCAAAATAACGTTAGCTTGCTATCTGGGTTTTTACGCGCCAATATTGGCCATTTATTGAATGCTAATGCGCTACCTATAATATTGCACCATGATAACGCCAATATTTAAGCTTCGATACGTCTCCTATTTTGCATTTCATTAGGTAATTATTTTTATCTTGTCACACTTTGAGCATATCCTAATTTCTGAAGAAGAAAAACGAGTACGAATTCTCTTGAAATTTTATCGCTTTATACAATTATAAACTTTCGTGTCATTAGAAAAAAAAGTCCTTGAGCTAAAGTTTAGCAAAACTCTCGATGCCGCAGATACAAAAAAATCGTCGCATTTTCATCCTCGTAAAAGCAGAGACTTCAAGTAAACTTCGATAAACTTCGAGCGACAAAACTTGGGATGCAATGGTCTCGCGTTCATCGGAAAAAGTTGCTTTCCAGCCGTTGTGAAAGTCTTGAATCCGATTAGCGTACACTTTTAATTATGGCAGAGCGTACCCCAATCAAATTTACGAATGTTACAACCGTTGCGATGCGGCTTTCTCCGCTGGACGCGGCCAATAAGGTCATCATCATTTTCGCATAATCCCCGCAGCATCATCAAATGTCACACGTTGGCATCGTGCGCGTGATCTCTCGTTTCTCTCACTCCGACATCTCGGCGAGATTCAAGTTGAGCGCCGCTGCTGGGAGGGGGAACCCCCGCCATATTGCGCAAGCGCGCGGGCCGAACTCGGCCCGGCGCCATTCGCGCGGACCAAGTGGAGCGAAGTGAGACGTCGCTTTTTCTATCTCGCGCGCGCGTTCGATTTACGCAGCACGGCCGTGCTCCGTCGTACTCGAGGTGGTGTCGGGATGTGCCGCGCGTCGACGAGACACACGGACCCGCAGCTGTCACCCGCCGCCAGCCAGACAGCGTGGCCGTAGATCCAACCTAACCTAACCTTAACCTCTTGCTGCGGACGCGACTCCCCGCCGCTTCCCGTGAGTACCCCAGAGATCCTTGCCTCGATTCTCGAACCTAACCTCGTCCCGGCCATATGACCGTTTCTGTAAACTCGAGCTTAGGCGCGACGTGACGCGCTCGCGTAGGTGCACGTTATACAAATCCCCTTATTTCTTTCCCCGCCTGTGCTACACGTCCGCGTGCACGCGCTTGCCGACGCCCGTTACTCCCGGGTCCTTTTAGTCGACCGACGCGTACCTCAACCACCATCCTTTTCATTTCTTTCGCATTGGAGTATTTATGTGTACGCGACTGCGGTTGACGTTGCTGCGCGCAGTGCGACTCGCGCCTCTATTTGCGAGGACGTCGTGGAGGTCGCGTCTCGCCCGTCACGTCGACGGCGAGTCCCTTTGGCGTTGCGTTTCTCGTCGCAGTCGCGATAGAACTCGCGGGAGTACTTGCGTTAATTGCTCGTTGGCAGTGTTGTTCGTTTTGTGCCTGTCATTTTTTCTATATAATATACACACGATGTAAGATTACGTGGATCCTATTTTTAGGCTGTTGGCAGAGAACGATCCGTAAACGCTTCAGGGCCTGAGCAGGCAGGTTGTCGTAACCGGTTGTGATTCTGTCGCAAGACTTAAATCGGAAGTCTACGCGCAGAGAATTGTAGACGTGTGTCGTATTCATCGCATCGACTTGCGTCTTGCTACGGAATCGTAAACACGACAGTCTTTCTGCCCAGGAACACTTTTGTTTTACACGAGCATGCAGTGAGGAAGAATTCTCGTTCGTAGATGCTAGTGGATATTGGACTGAGTGATTTTTCGTTTGCATCTTGTCGACACCCCCCTTAAAGCCTGCGTCCACGATGCTAGAACTTGGCCCAAGTTCTAGTTTCAAGAAATGTATTCCATAAAAGCCGCAAGTTGATCGGCTACACGTTTCTCGAAACTAGAAACTGTCCACGATGCTAGAACTTGGACCAAGTTCTAGCATCGTGGACACAAGGCTTTAGCTGAGATCATATTTAAGTTGTAAACATAAGGTAAGGCAGAGAAAAACCTAAGTCGTAAAAGTCTATTGTATACTTAAGTTTTTGTCTGTCTTATCTTATGTCTACTAAGATAGTCTTAAGCGTTTACGGGTTCTTCTCTGCCATCAGCCTCGAACTTCGCGCTGGCCCACTTTAGGGCGTGTTAATGCAAGACGAACGGAAAAATATATTGTAAAGGATCTGAAAGAATCAGCTTGTCCTCTAGGTACAGATGTTGCCTTTTGTATATTTTCTTGTCCCAAACTTATTGAATCTTGTCAGTCTTCAGCTTTGTCGTCAGATTGCAAAGTGAAATTGGAACACTTGTGAAATTGTCAGCGCTAATCTCTTCGATCGTTGTCTCTAACCACCTTGTTTTCCTCAAAACCTAATGTACAATGTGCTCTCCGCGTCTAGAAACATTCCATTTTGTAGCCAGTGAATACGTTGAAGAAATTTGTGCAAGTTAATAAATCATACAAATTTGTTCAGCGTTTTGATTTGCTCATACAAAACAATGTTTCTAGATGCAGAGAGCACATTGTAGATCAGGCTTTAACTTTTGTTTTGCACGAGCATGCAGTGAGGAAGAATTCTCGTTCGCAGATGCTAGTGGATAGTGGACTTGTGTGATTTTCGTTTGCTTCTTATCGACACCCCATAGCCGAGGTCATATTTAAGGGAGCGCACGTTTAAACTCTTACGGCAATTTGTTTAGGAGGCACGATATACTTTATGAGTGTCCTTCGGTCAACCGGTTGAGAGATGGAGGACGAGCAGTACTTTCAGCCGATCTTGAGCTCTCAGGAAGAGGACAATTTTCAGCAGTTGAACACCGTGTCGATCGCGTCGATTCCGCTTCTGCTCGGAGTAGGTATATCCCGCTTGTCGCGTTGTGTCTTTTTCCTATTGGAGTGTTGAAAGGCCGGGCTGGATATATCGGAGCGACTTTTGTACCGTAGGTCTCCTTGGGGATCTGCGGGATCGTGTTTGTGTCCATCTGGTCGGAGGAACAGAGCAAATGCGACACGTACTTTATATACCTGTACCTACACTGCGCCTACTGGCTGATAGTCATGACGGCGGACCACGTTGTCAAGGCGAGACACCACGGCTTGCGCATGAACGGGTACCTAGATTTCTATCAGTCGACGTATCAGCTTATAAGGACGCCCCTCTTCATCGCGTCGCTGTGGAACACATGTTACTTGTTGCTAGCCGTGATTCTGCATCACACGCATAAGGTCGACTACGAGCGGTACTGCAGGAAGTCGGAGTGGTTCACGCCGCTCAACTACATTTTTCTCCTAACTACCTTGGAGCTCGCGATAATCGTGCCAGCTTACATTAATTACATCAGTAAGTATCTTACAGGGGGGGATTGTATCCAAAGAGAACCAGCTAGGTCGATAAGAGGAAGGTTTTGCGTCGGAAAATAATATTAAATGTTAAATTTTCTTTGATTCTTGTGCATTATTGAGACACGTTAAAAAATTTATATAAAAAAAAAGCTTGCGTAAAATATCACGTTATCTAGGAGGGATGTTGAAAATAATTTTGAGATTTTACCATCAAGATTGCCTTCGCATTGTAGGAAAACGTTTCATTTGAGGATTAGTTCGTGAACTTTGACCAATAACTAATACAACAAATGTCTCGAAATCGATCGTTCTTTTATTGCGACTTGCCGATATATTTTTTTCTCACATAGAGAGAGTTATGAGATTCAATCAGTTACGTCCGCCGCCCGATGTCACTCGCGACGAATGGCTGTCGCCCTTCACGCAAGATTCCTATTCCGGAATGGGGGAAATCGGGTATCGCCAGAGGGGGAGGAATTTGGAGGAACTGCTGCAAAAGCAGGCGGACTTGATAAGATATCTGAGAGATCACAATGTAAAGCTAAGCCACAGAATATTGCTGTTGGCGTCTGAGCGTGTGGCGACGGAGACATGAAATAAAACTGTGACTACACATCTCCCTTGCAAAACGACGAAAGGCACTCGTTCTTTGTAATCGTGACGTGTTAACGGAGATTAGGACTTTAATTTTTCTAATGTGATATGTGCTGTGTCTTTTTGCTGAAATTAAATTCGATACATAGATGTACAATAAGTATATCATACGTATAGAAAAATCGTACTATTACTGCTTAAGTTCGTTAAAACTATTTTGTGTTGTATATTTCACAAGTGTATAAATAGTCGGTAAGTTCTTTTCGTTTCGTGTCATCTTTGAGGCGCGGTCTGTTGCGCAAGGTGCGTATTACTTTTGTATCTTCACGTGTACACTTGTCATTTATACCCACAGACGTAAACTTGTAAATAGATTTGAATTAAAAGAACAGCACTGTATAATATTTACCGTATGTATGTACAATGCATTATGCCAAATAATATTCTTGATCGACGATCAAGAATAGTTCTTAAAACATGGTAATATTTGTTAAAGATACAACATCGACGACAAAATCCTGCATGCTTGGGGAAGAAGGTTACACGGTGTTACTGTGACAGAAGTGCAGTACTATACGTTCATTGTCAACTCAATAAAATATATGTATATTTTTTCCAGTAGCAACCATCATTTTACATACATTATTATTTCGCATACATGAGGCTATATAAATAATTAGTCAAGCAGCGGCTTCTCTTAACAAAACTCAACAGCGTGTATCGTCGTATCTCACACGTTACGGTATTACATCAAAAATTTACATATAAATCTCGATTACGTTAACATTAACTCGGCGTGATATAATATTACATCGCACGTTTTTCTCGAGTCTCAAAAAGCAATGCCGTATGGCTCACTGCAGCGGTAGAAAGTAAAACCGATAAAATATACTCGCTACACCGAGCCACGTTGTTGTTTTTTTTGTCCTCCTCGCTCGCGATGCTCGCGCGAAATCAGAATAGCGTCTTCTCTCATTGTCAGAGCAGTTTCGTTACAAACTTGATAAATGTATATATCATATACAGCCGCCTCTATAACATGCAGTCGTACGAATAATAGTATAAGTAAAAACTACATACGGTGATAATTAATAGGGTTTATAGTATACGTATAAACTTTATACGTATGTATCTCTGCAGTTTTCTTAACGTAATAGTAACGTCCGTAGGAATCTCGCAGCAAAAATAATGCAGATTTTCCGTCTCGTTTCCCGCGCTAGTCCGCAGTCTTCCCGAGTATGTTGGAGAAATTATTGCCTCGCAGTATCACTTTCAGTCGCGAAATTTCCTTTAAAGCATCTTACGTTTCTGAGCAGCTAAAATCATTCCTGTCTATTCCTTACGTATTCTAGGGCTCGTCTTCCTCATTCGCACGATGCGCCAGTCGCGGACGCGGCGATCAGGATATCTTTCCCGAGGTACCTTCGTCTGTTCTCAAGAATCTCGGGTTGCTGAAGAAGAAAAACCACATACGTAATTTCTATAAATAGCGCGCGTTTTCTATCTCTTTAAACACACGTCGGGGACTTAGAGTTTCATGAAGATTTACTTGGCTCATGCGCTCCTACGTAATCGTATACTCGAAAAACGCAAAGTGAGCGGTCGTTATCTAAATTGGTGTACGAGAGAACGATTGGCAATTCAGTTCGAATTGACGATTTATCTCGTGACGTCTTGCGAATTAAGCGAGGAAAAGATGTCCTGATTGCCGACTGGCGTAGGCTGGCACAATGTGCAATAATAGACACATCTTTACACTAGAGCTATATTATTTAACACCGGTCTACTTATGTATCTCTCTTTAAGTATGTATATATAAGTCTATAAATGCCTAATAATACCTATGTCATCTGGATGCGGGTCTGGCGCGGTGCGCGTGGAAAATTAGTAAAGTGTCGCCGTGTCGAGAGATTCGCCCCGTGTTTTATACAAGTTCCCTAACGTTAAGAGTGAAATGGCGAAATTAAGTAGCATCGCTTTCTTCGACGCGTCTCTTCCTCGGGTTCCCGATTCCTCTCGTGCTTCGTGAATCACCGAGACCCGATCGCACCGATACTCGTCGTCTCCAACACTTTGTGTCCCTTTTTTCTTACAGTTTTAATTGCAATTTACTTACAAGATGAAAATTAGCGCGCCAATGTTTAATTCACACATCTTATCGTATTTTTCACAAACAATGCTTTAACGTCGATGCCATTAACATTTCTTATAATCCTTTATTGGCCACATTAACTATTGTCATTAAGACGAAATTTGGTTAACCGAATATCGTTCGAGAAAAAAATAAGCGACTCCTGCAGTTCGACATCAGTTTTGAAATTCAGTCCACGCGTTGGGAACTGCGACGCGGAAAGTCGCTGATCGGGATTAATCGGCGACAATCGATCGGTGCGACCGGGCCTCGTCGCGCGTGTGTGGCAATGGAAAGAAATCTATTTACAAAAGAGCCGCGATCCGCCAGACCCGGCCAGATCCGCCCTTCTCGTACACGTATATTTACGGATATTACAAAACTAGCTTACACTTATATGGAACACTCAACTCTACAACACTATATAAAACGTAGAAGCTTGTACACCCCGTTGTGTCTCGAGAGTAGGCTACGTGTGTTCGTGTACGACACCATATCCACTCCAGCACCTGCGTTTCCTCCGCGAAACGACGGCGCGATTGACTCTCGCTCGCCGAGTCCCGTGATTACGGAAATCTTGTTCTCTCTCTCTCTCTCTCTCTCTCTCTCTCTCTCTCTCTCTCTCTCTCTCTCGCGCTCGCTCGCTCGCACCTCTTTTTTCATATTTTTTTCTTTTATTAAGACTTCACTGCAAAATTTGTACTACGCTTAGGCCAGCCGTTGCTGCTGAGCTAGTTCGAACGGGCGGGAGTTCCCTGTTCCACGCGTTGTGAACAATACGCAACCGCGGCTTTCGCGCACGTCCCCACATTAAAAGTGTTCCTCATTATTGTCGTGTCTAGTAGGTTTTTTTTTTTATTCAGACTTTGTTGCAAACAAGGATTAAATAAGGACGATCCCTGTCGCGGGAAGCTGATGCACGGCTCGCGGATGTCGATCCTGCCAATCGGACTTGCTTTAATTCGACCCCGCGAAATCGGATGACGTAGAAAGGCTTCGCTTCGAATTTACATGTGTTAACGTCTCGAATTTTTCAAACGGCACAGATTAATCGCAAATAAAGTCGCGAGAAGTTATATATACTTGCAACCATGTAAAGCAAGCTTTATTAGACTTCCAATTTATTTGAATTTCCATAAACACGCGAGACCGATGATCATTTTTCTTTTTCCAATTGCCAAACACAATATGAAGCTAACTTTCAGAAATTTCATCAGTTTACCTCCAATTGGGTTTCAGTCTTTATTCCAACTAAACCGAAACGGAAATCAGGGAGCGGAATTACGTAACGCGCAAAGGAAAAACGAAAGCAAAGCAAGAGAAGTCCTCTCCGAGTCCGTGTCTCCTTGCCCCTGCAATGAGCACTCGGATGCGCCCGTTACTTCCCCGCAAACGTTCACCCCGTGTGTATCCGCGTGCATTTCGGAGGCCCGTCCGGGGCGCATCCGAGGGTCAAGAGTCGGAACGTCCGGCGATCGGTGACGTTATCCGCGTCTTGTCGGCGAATCGCGACGGACGGCCTCGCGGTCGCGGCGGACGAGGGGGAAACGCGGTGAGACGGTGGTGGTCGGTCGTACGACGGTCGTCGACGCGGTGGTCCCGACCCTCGGCGTCACCCTCGTCCCGGCGTCGCTGACGAAGTCGTAAAATCACGCGTGCGCGCCGCCGATGACCGCCGCGTTCCCGGTCGCCGTCGCCGCCGCCGTCGTCGTCGCCGACAGCTGCTCCTCCGCCTCCATCATCTTCAGCTTGCGCACCACCTGCGCGTGCTCCTCCAGCAGCCTGGCGAACTCGCCCCGCCTGGTCTCGGCCTCCACCTGAATCTGCTTGATCCTCTCCCGCGGCCCGCCGGGGCTGTCCAGCGGCGTCTGCGACGCCGAGTTCTGCGAGCTGCTCTCGCGCGACAGCCCGTCCAGGTCGGAGCCGTCGCTGAGGATCGAGTGGGAGTCCACGTCGTCCACGATGAGGCTGCGGGTTACGAGCGCAATGTAATGACAGTGACTCCGGCGGAGCGGGGCGAATGAATAAAAATGGGGTGAAAGCCTGACGAAAATCAACAAGATGCTGACTACTCTACTCTAAGAAAAACATGATGACGGGACAATTGAGTCATGTGCTTTTTCACGTCAGTGACATCGCGATTTGTCGCGTCGTCGTGTGTCTGGGATCTGGGAACAATCATCGCGCCAATTATTTCTATCTGCGCTTCTGTGCGTTCGCTTTTCTTCCTCCCGCTTTCAACGACGTGGAACGACGCTGATCGTTCCCCGCGTCCAATTTATTTTCGTGTTTATCCATTCCGATTTTTTTCGCCGGGGCTGACGTATCACGGGGGCGGCGCGACGCGGCGGAAACGCGCGCGTAAATCCGTATCGTATCTGCTGTCGACGTCAAAGGAAAATCCGACGCGCCCCGTGTACACGTGTACCTGACGCGCACACGCGCGTACCGCGGTGATAATAATACCGGCCGTTATCGCGCACTGGTTTCATTACAGATGCGGCGATCGGAAGCCGTGTCGCGCCTCCTCTCGCAAAACGCGAGGCGATTTCCGACAATTGTCTCGCAGCGCTGGACCGACGACGAGAGATCAACCTCCGCCCGCGTCTCGCGTCGAGCCGGAAACGATCTCGGCGCGGGAAAAGCCCCATACTCGCGCGTGAATGAATCGTAAGAAATTATGCGTATTATCTCAAGTTTCCACGAGAAAAAGAAATTGTTAAGTTCAACGTGAATAATTGATCGAAATATATGCTTGAATTAACAAGTGTTTTGGGCGTTCGACAGCCATTGGCCGCGGCCTTTCGTTAAACCAAGAAATATTGTTTTAATTCAACTCTTCTCAGTGCACCCGGGAATTTTCGATGAATATGGAACGGGAGGGGGAGGGGAGGGAGGGATCGGCGCGCGGCGAGATCAACGCGACGGGGATGATTTCTTCTGCCTCCCGTTTTCGCGTCCTTTCCCTTCGCGGGGTTCGTACTCGCGAAAACTGCCGCGAGTATCGATCCGAGAGCCGAGTGTGTGTCCCGAGTCTCGTTTACAGGCCCCGGTATCTTGTTGCACCTAGGCATACACACATACACACACACAAACACACTTGGTCGCTTCAACATTACACATATAGCTTGGGTCGCGGTACAATCGAATCTAGAATTATCCCTCTCCAACACGTCTCGCGTTTTAGGGCGTTGTTTACGCTCGGGATTTACGAGCTTCCTTCGCCGGACCGCTGATATCACCGGCGGAAAAAGACGGATGCGTTATCGCGGCGCGCATCGTGAAGCGCAAATAGAAAATACAGCGCCTACGAGATACTCGCCTCGACCTCGCGCTTCGCCGGCAGAAGCCCTCGCGGCTGATTATACCACGAAACTTTGCTCATTTCGCCGATGCTTATTAGCGACGGGATTATCGATGAGTCGAGGATCCGCCGGGGATCGAAGAAACTTTCGAGGGAATCGGGCTCTTTAATTCGAGTAACGAAATGGGGTGTATTAAGGAATTTCACGGGAGCACTTTTTGCCCGGGATTGAGCTGAAAGTTTAATCGCGCGAAATAGAAATGATACGCGAGCGAGAGCCGGGACGTTCATTCTACTTCGAGCGCTAATAATTAAAGTCCCGTTCGTCAGAGTGAACTCGCGGCCCGACGGTCTCGATGTCGAAGACTTAGGGCCTGAGCAGAATGGCTGTCTTGTACTCTTAAAACATAAGACAGTTATTGT